TATTTTACTTTTGCTCTTCTCTCCATATTTTATTATATCAGAAGAATACTCTTACTACGATCAATTCTGAAGTGTTACGAAACTTCAAGATCGAAAGAAAAAGAAAGAACCGATCGGGAAGTGACGATTGGATTTTCAAAAGAAAACCGATCGATTATCGCCATCAAAAAAAGTTCAAGATCGACTGTTTTTTTTTTATCTTTTTTGCACACAAAGAAGACCCTTCAATTGACTTCTCCCTATTGAAACAAATCAAGAACTCCACATTACATTTCTTCAAAGATAAATAAACATGACACGTAGAAAATTAAACCCTCCAACTTCTTTGAATTTAACAAAAACAATCAATTTAAATTATGATCAACTTCATTTTCATTTAGATAAATTTCCTTTGCCCATCTTACCTCCTTTGATTTATCTTTATCAACCTTCATATTTAAAATTTAAAGATTCAAAATTACTTATTAAACATTTACCTAACCTTTAAAACAGAATCCTGGTCTGAGTTTTGACTCCCTTGGGTTTTATTGATGGAGGTGAAAAAGATATCTTGAGGTTATCGAGGCTTGGTTGTTTTTATCTTTTAAGTTTAGTTTCTTGACTCGTGTTATTTGAATTTGTTCTTCTTAATCTTAGTCATGATGATTTCTTTGGTATACATAATGTAGAATGTCTTTTTTATTGATATCTTTCTTGTTTACTTGATTCCAGATGTATTCCTTGTGTCTTTCTTCTTTTGAATGTCAATAAATAAAGTCTTTCATCAACTCAGAGTTTCAATTTATCTTCCAAAGCTATCCTACATAAATCAACCTCCAGTCTATGTGTAAATGTAGATGAAGAAGCCTTTTTGCTTGTAAAGGAATTTATTTCCCCCAAAAATCAGTCAACAGCGCAATTTTGTAAGTTGTCCCGCTTCTTTGTTACCACAAAGCAAAGCTTTGTTATCTAGAAGTAGCATTAGAGCTTGCCATTGGTCGATCCTTTCCTAGACTCGTGCAGAGACAGGGTCAGGTAGAATTGCAGCTAGATGATGATTGCACTTGGGCATTTGGGAACCAAGATAGACGAAAGCTGCGTGGCTACACAATCCAAAGGGTCTTGGTGCAGATGCAAGAGCTCTATGGGGCAGCCACCACTCGATAAGCATAGATAAGATCAAATTAAGATATATTCGAGTCAGAGATAAAAACAGTACTATAATAAAGCGGGAAGAGAGGGATGATACGCTGTTCTCAAGAGATAAGTGAAAATCCCCTTTTACAACCGCTAATGATAAGAGATTTTTGATGGGTAGTAGTAAAGAGATATGATGGGGTAGTGGAAGTTAAGAACAAAAGACAAACAAAGCTAAGCAGTCGACAAGAACTACAGGAGAAGTTGAACCAATTGGCGAGTCGTCAATGCGGATCGAAATGTTAAAGCGTATGAAGACTCACAAAGAAAAAATTCGAGGACAAGCAAGTGTCACTTTTAAGAAAAGGAAAATTGACATCGGAAGATCTATAGGAAAATCAAAAGATGAGTTTCAAATCAGAATAATTCGATGAATGTTAGAAGACGTACTTGAAACAAGGATTGATGACAAACAGGGGATTTAACAATGAAAGACAGTCATCGAAAAGATCTACAAGAGAATCAACTGATGATTTTTCACGATCAAATCACAATACAGAGAGGAAGGAAACTTAGTAGGAGAGGCTTGGATGATCGCAGCAGAGACATTTTTATTTGTTTTTTCAGGAAACAGAAAGTAAAACTAGTTCAGAGGACCGGAATCTTGTGAAAGCGATAAAAACTTGGAGTACATAATTGATGTTTGTCTGGGTGGGATGATAACTTGACGAATAAGCGAAGGTCGTCATTGGCAGGAACAGATCAGGCCGTCCGGTGACAGTTGGTGAGAAGATCGGCTCTAGTGAGACGAGGATCGGGTCAGGCTGAAGCTGCAAGTGAATAGTCGACATTTGGAGAGCAATGAGTATAAAGATTGTTATATAACTCAAGACCGCGTAGATAACGACGAGAACCAATCGGATCAATGATGTTTCCTGCCTCTATGATTTTCGTAGCAGTTGAGGGCATCACAAACTCCATGTACACGCTTGCAAGGTACACCAGACTTAGGAGCACAGTTACCCTGGTTCCAACCAAAACAAGGTTGATCCACTTCAGCGAGATGATACGTAGGACGCTTTTTGTAAGTCTTTTTGCTAGACTTTTTGTAAGGTTTTTTACTGGGCTTGCTAGGCTTCTTGATGGGCTTGTTAGGCTTTTTGATGGGCTCACTAGGCTGGAAGGATGAAGAAGTGGAAGCTTGAGGGGTCCCGTGTCTGGAAGATTCCGTTATAGATGGTCTCTCGTCACGATATGAGATAGGGAGTTCGTGCGTGTAAAGGAATTTATTTTCAAAGCCTTTGAGAGCTCGAGCCTTGTAGTCACCCCAGATTAAATTGGGCTGGCTAGCAAACTCGAGACGGCAGGCTTGGTCGTATCGCTCAATGTTAGACAAGGTGACATCAGTCCTTGTTGACTTCGTGAGGCTGATGATGTGATCGAAATAATTACGAATTGAGGTCAGAGCAGGGTGGAAAGCGGCCATGTAGGCAAATTTGATTGTAGCGATGAGGTCTTGAAAAGCGGAGATGCTTCTAATCTCGAGAGGCGTTTGTTGTGGACAGGAGGTAAAAGTCCAGTTTTTCGCGGCATCAGCGTCCTCGAGACGCCGATTTCGTGAGGTACCGTATATTGCTTGTTCAGCATAGAGCTGACGAAGATCAACATAGGAATACGCGAGAAGAGTTCTAACCAGGGACGGAGGGAAATCGACCGGTTTGTTGTGGGATATGATAAAATTGATACAAGATTCCTTGATATGTTTTCGATAAAAAAGGGCAATCTCGTGAACTTAATCAGGATCAGGAAGTGATCACTTAGGCGCATTACGCGTATAGGACGCGACATGTTCAGATGCGCATTTAGATATGTTTCTCTTCTCACTACGTGACACCTTATTGAGTCCGTTAGGTTCATCTATATAGAACAACTCTCTTACTTCATGTTGTTCTCTTCTCTCTATCGAACTCAAAGCTTTCATTGTGTTACAATCTCCTTTACAGATTGTCCTTTCTTTCGATCAACCAGTGTCTTCCCTCAGTAAGACCCTATCTGATCTTAATCCGCTTCAGGTGTTAGTTATTGTTTTAGTTGTTTGTGTTCTCCTTTGATTAATCGAACTCAAAGCTTTCATTGTGTTACAATCTCCTTTACAGATTGTCCTTTCTTTCGATCAACCAGTGTCTTCCCTCAGTAAGACCCTATCTGATCTTAATCCGCTTCAGGTATTGTCCTTTCTTTCGATCAACCAGTGTCTTCCCTCAGTAAGACCCTATCTGATCTTAATCCGCTTCAGGGAAAGAAAACAGACAAAACTACCTAAAGCTCTTTGGTTATGAGCCCAGCGTTCCACGAAGCTCTTAAAAATTTTTTCGATCAAATCTAAAAATTCTTTCAAATGACCGACTCATCAAACTCAGCACGAGTTCATTTCCCTAAACTTGCGAAAACGAACTACGTCGAATGGGCCGGAGATGTCGTCGCCCACTTGATGACGTGTAACTTAGAAGAGTTCATCAACATGGACTCGCCTCCCGTTCCTCCCGTAAAAGTCGATGGGTCTGATCAATCTATCCAACTTGCAGTCTTCGCCACCAAACAAAAGAAGGCAGCAGGTATCTTGTTCGGATGCATTGATCAGGACAACAGAATTTGTATTGTCGCCAAGGATGCAGTCTCGGATCCCATCAAGATTTGGAAAATTTTGAAAGAACACTTTCAGTCTTCATCTGATGAAAATCAAGCCCGCGCATATCTCAAGTGGACTGATATCATCTTCACTGACCTCGAAACGTACATCACTGACAATCAACATGCTTTAGCCGGTCTCTTAGCTGTTGACGGGATTCAACACATCCATCAAAAATTCATCGGAGAGACCATCGTCAGCAAACTCCTGTCCTCCATGGACATCACCAAGACCTTATTACGAAAAGATCGTCCACTAACCTCCGAAAAGGTTATCAACTATCTCGAAGCTCAGCTTGTATCTATTAAAGATGAAGAACTTCACACCAACACCATTGCACTCGCAGTTCGACAACCACGAGCTTTGCAGCGCACAACCACCCAACGTCCTCTGACGTTCGGTCGACCATCACGGCCTTATTGCTCCAACGGGCGCCACAATCCAGAAGCGAAAGGTCACACTTCCACTCAATGCTTCCAGGTAAACCCCGGTCTTCAACCAGCTCAGACCAGCTCAACTCAGCCCAGAGCATCCGTTACCGTCGCCAGTGACGCTTTCTTCGAGGCCCAAGCCTTCGTTCTAACCACGACTGAACACAAAGGCATCCTCCTAGATAGTGGATGTTCTCATCACATGGTACCTGACAAGGACATGTTCGAAAATTATCAACCAGTCTCGTCAAACGTCACTCTTGCGAACGGGGCAAACATTCGAATCGCAGGAAAAGGAACTATCACCTGCAACCTTGCCGACAGCGAAGTAATTCTTCAAGCCCTACACGTACCAGACTTAGGATGCTCATTGATCAGCATGGGCAGCTTGTTGATGCAAGGCTACACCATCCACAATCACGTCGACGACATTCTGATGACCAAAGTCGGAGTTGGAACCTTCGTTGGACATGTTCGAAATCAGGTCATTGAGCTCGACATCACCATAGGCACGTCAACTCCTATTTCTAATCCTCGAGCCAACATTTCAATCTCTGACTATGATATTCTCCACAGACAGGGAGGTCATCCCGAGTCTCCACGCCTTAAAATGATGTATAAAGTTGGAGCTCCTGACAACTGGAATTGTGAAATTTGCAAGCTGTCAAAAGGTCACCGTCTTCCCTACCCCGGTCACTTTCCTTCTGCCAAACTTCCTCTAGACGTCATCCACAGTGACCTCAGTGGGAAAATTTCTGTCCCTTGTGTTGGTGGTGGATTGTATTACTTTAAACTTACGGATGCATGTACAAATTATAAACATGTTTTTATTATGAAATTAAAATCCGATACTTTCTCCTGTTTCACTCGATACAAAACACTCGTTGAGACACTTCACAATAAAAAGATTGTAAGTCTGGTAAATGACCAGGGCGGAGAATACATGGCTAAGGACTTTCAAGAATTACTCAAGAAAGACGGAACAACACAACATCTGAGTGCTCCGTACACACCCCAACAAAACCCAGTCTCTGAAAGAGGCAATCGTACAACAACTGAGAAGGCACGCACCCTACTTCGACAATCTAACTTGCCCTACAACTTCTGGGCTGAGGCTGTGACAACAGCCGTGTTTCTTGAGAATGTAACTCCAGCCAAGATAACTCAGAACAAGTCAGCGTACGAGTTATGGTTTGGCCGTCCCTTTGATTACTCCAGACTGAAACCGTTTGGTTGTCGAGCTTACGTTCTTATTCCCAAGCAATTCCGACGGAAGTTCGACAACACGTCCTCAAAAGGCATCCTCTTAGGCTATCAGGTGGGAATGAAAAACTACCGGATCAGACTGGACGACGGTCGGATCGTCTATTCTCACGACGTAACGTTTGATTGCACCAATTTTCCAGGAATTGAAGGTGATACTGAACGAGACAACTCTGATCTCGACACTCTCTTCAAAGACGACTACATCATTCCAAACATCTCAATAGACTCACCTCCCTCCACATCCACGCCTGCTAATGTTCAAACTCTGGAAGATACACCCCATGATACTCCTACTCCGTCACAACCATCCTCACCAGTCATCTTACCAGAAACGACTCCATCAGAAATCGAAGATGAAGTTGCTCGAGAAGAAGACGACGATTCGGGCGATGACAATGAAGTAGTCGATAACCTCACGAACCACTTAAAACCAGGTTGGGACTGGCAGTTGAGAGCTGAGGCACCACAGAACATTTCGAGCAACATTGACTCATCAAATATTCTTCCATCAGGTTCACGTCGAAGAGCCGCAGCAGTATCAGTCAAATCCACTCCGACACTTAACAATCCAACACCGAAAACCTACAAACAAGCATTACTATCAAACGACAAAACGGAATGGGATCAAGCCATCACGACTGAACTACTCAACATGACTAGAAGAAAAGTTTGGAGTGTTGTGAATCTACCCAAGGACCGACATGCGATAGGCACCACGTGGGTATTCAAAAAGAAGATGGGTGCTGAAGGGGAGTTGCTAAAGTATAAGGCAAGGCTATGTGCGTTAGGCTTTCTTCAGTACTTTGGTGTGGACTACAATGAGACCTACGCACCAACTGGTCGCCTAGCCACGTTCAGATCTGTCTGCACAATTGCCGCGGAAGAGGACTTGGACGTGATTCAAATGGACGCAGTCGCGGCCTTCTTAAATGGAAGTCCAAAGGAAGTCATTTACATCAGAATTCCTAAGGGTTATAACGTGGACAACGCGACTGCCGACACAGTACTACAGCTCAATCAAGCCTTGTACGGCCTCAAACAAGCACCTAAGGTTTGGTATGATACCTTAAAAGCCTTCTTCGCCACCATAGGTCTCTTCCCATCACCAACAGATCCTAGCCTTTTCATCTCATCTGATCCAACATGGCGATGTCTCGTACATGTACATGTTGATGACATGGTCATTGCGTCAAACAACGTCGAACGTTTCCGATCAGCAATCACTGAAAAGTTTCAAATGGACGAAAACACGGACTTCAAATACATTCTCGGAATGAAGGTCGTCAGGGATTGCCAAACCAAAACTATCACACTTTCACAAGCTCAGTACATTCAGGATCTTCTTGAAGACTACGGCATGGAAGAATGCAAACCGGTAGGTTCACCAATGACGCCAAACATGTATCTCATTCCAGGCACGACTTCAGAACGTGAAGAGTTTCTCAATCTAGGTGTCAGCTATCGACGAGCAGTTGGTAAATTGATGTATCTTAACAATGCTACACAACCTGACCTTTCTTTCGTCGTCTCGCAACTATCCCAACATCTTAACAACCCATCCATTGTACACTGGATAGCTTTCAAACGAGTGCTTCGCTTCCTCAAGGGTACTCAATCACTCAGCTTAGTCTTAGGAGGATCTGGTCTAAATCTCAACGGTTTCGCAGATGCTGACTTCGCTGCATGTCCAGTAACAAGAAGATCCACGGGAGGTTACGTGACACGATTAGGCAACAGCACAGTCAATCGGAATTCGAAAAAGCAAGATTCAGTGGCAACTTCAACGACGGAGGCAGAGTACAGGTCAGCGTACGAAGGGGGACAGGATATAGTATGGGTAAATGAACTTATAGCAGGTATGGGGATCAAACAAGAAAAAGCACCATCTTTCAAACTGGACAACCAAGGAGCAATTGCATTATCGAAAAACCAAAAATTTCAAAGAAGAACGAAACATGTAGACGTGAAATATCATTGGTTAAGAGAAATGGCATTACAGAGCAAACTGAAGATCAATTACATTCCAACAAACGATATGATTGCAGATGTAATGACGAAAGCACTCACACCGGGCAAACATGGTAATTTCTGCACACTGTT